GTTCTTCCTCAATGCCAACCTTTACCTTCTCTCTGTCCTATATGCCTATTCCTTCCCCTCTATCCCTTGCCTAAATATGCATTGTTGGCTCTTGATAAAATTAAGAGACCTCCTGATGAATGTCCACCTATCCTTTGTTTCAATTTCCACTCAGAAAAAGTCTGAGAAATCAGAGAGAGATTTTAGCACTGCCAGCATAGAAACTGAACAAGATACCAACCTAGAGGATTCTCCCCATGGGAGAAACCAGGGGGAGAAAAGTCGGTCTCTGTACATTACTCTTCTCCCCCTCCGACTTGCATAATTTAAAAGAACACACTAGAAGCTTAAGAAAAGACCCAGGAGAATATCTCCATCTATTCAGGGAAATATTTCAGTCATCTTGGGCTGATGTATTGATCCCTGTTTCAATGATCCATTGATGAGGGAGGAGAAAGCCCTCATATAATTGAAGGGAAGAGAAACAGCCAAGATGAACTGAGACACAAATTAAATTTATCTTCTCTGATAGGCATTCTGAAGTCTGGACCAAAGTCCTCCTTGGAATTTCAATAAGAAAGAGGACTGGAAGCATCTTCCACACTTTGACACCGTCATTCTTAAGGGAATGAAATTAGTTTGTAAAAGGTGCATACCCTGGGGTAAATTCCAGGAGGTAATTGAAGGCCCAAGATAAAACCCCTCGTCATTTATGGACAGATTTGGTGAACATGTAAGTGTCTGTACCAACACAGGTGTGGTAGAGTGGAGGGAGAGGCTGTCTTGAGATCAACTGTAGTTCCCATGGTGCCCTAGACATACGCAGAAAATCATTAAATTTATAATTAAAACCAAACACTTCTCAACCAGGCTGACGGAATTGGCCTTTTGTTGTCTAAGAACTGAGATATGGAAGAGAAGGTAAAGAGGATAAGAGGGATTAGCAGATGGGCTGTGTTTGGGCTGTTTCCTTGCACAGTCAGATGGGCCCCCGAGACTGCCAGAACAGGTGAGATAGAACCTACAGCTCTGGTGAGCTGCCTGTCCTCTCCCTCAAAGAGGCTGTGGAGACCTGAGGTTGGGCCCCAGTCAGTGTCCAGACTGCACTAAGGGATGCTGGAAACAGGGATGTACAGAGAGGGAACCGAGAAAAACTCAGTCTGCAAGGGACCAGTTGCCTGGCTGATGACATAATTTGATGAGGAAGGTTGATGGGACCACTGGGCTCCTGCTCAGCAAGCCTTCACAATTACTGCTAATGAGCTCTAGTGGACTTTGACATAGATGGGAAAATAGACATTTTTGGTTGACATTGATGCCTTCTATTGGGTCTTAAACATCTGGCAGAGTGATATAATCTAAGATAATAAAGCTATAATGGTCGTGGAAGGAAAATAAAAATCTAGGTCAATTTTGGAAATTTCAGAATGTGACTTGGATACACAAGTTTTGTCTGACTCCTTTCTATGCGTGCCTCAGGGCTCCATATCCTTGCTAGGGCAAGATATGTTACCTAAGCTAAGAACAACCACACACCTAATGAATGAGTCTTTCAAGATCAAGATTGCCAAGGATGGGGGCCGTCTCCTGGTACTGACCTTAACTTCTCCAGTAAAAGGGGATGCTCAACTTTGGAGCAGATCTTCTGGGAATTTAGCTGTGACTCTGGATTGATGGTAAGGTGGAGAAGAACGAAATAGTCCCTTCTATCTGGGTAAGACTAAAGTCTAGTTTTGCTGCCCTAAATAAGTATCTACTCAAACTAGATGGTCTCCTTGGGATTAGCCTAGTCTTAGAGATGCTTTTCATTCAGGAAATACTTCCTGGTAATCTCTCTCCCACATCCCCTTCTTCCAGAAAAGAAAACGATGGGTGAAGATTAGTATAAGACCTCAAGGCAACAAATGAGGCCATTGAAGAGCTCCACCCAGTACTACCTAGCCATGCACCCTATTGTCCTCCTTTCAGATCAATTTAGTCCTTCGGTCTTTGCCTTTTTCTCTGTGCCCCTGGCTTTTGAATACCAATGCCTTGTACCTTTGAATAGTGGGATGCCCCGAATACTCAAAAGCAGTGATTACACTCCTCCAAGGGTTGCGAAATTCTTTCAGGATATTTGGGGAGGTCCTGGTAAACGACCTCAAAGGTTTACTTTTGAAAAAAAAGAACCCTGTTTCAATATGTGGATGACATTGTCATAGCCAGCACTACCCAGGAAGAGCTGGACTGAAAATCCAGCAACAATAGTACTCTAGCCAAGAGGCACTGCAATGTGTCCAAAGAAAACATCTAATTTTCCCACTCTGAAAATGTCAGAGCAGCAACAAATCAGCCTCTCCAAGATTTGGAATCCAGACACTGGAAAACAACTTGGGGAAGAGGATAAGGAGGGAGGTGGATTCCTGAAGGGAAAACTGGAGCCTAATGAGAGACAGAGGAGACAGAACACAACACAGAAAAATGGAGGTGCAGTCTGAACATTTGTCTCAGCTCTTGACTCATGGCTTGGGAGAAAGGAAAATGGAATTTATAGAGACAAAGTGAAAATGGGTGACTCCAGTGGCCTTCATGGAGAAATGCAAAGATTTTCTGAGCAAAAACTCACTTGCACAAGAAATAATACAATGAACCAATGAAATCACATCCAATGCAAAAGCTTCTGTACAGCAAAAACCATCAACAGAGTGAAGAGACGACCTACAGAATGGGAAAAAATTTTGCCAGTTACTCCTCAGAGGACTAGTATCTAGCATAAAACATAGAGTTTTGGTGAACAAAGTTCTTTGTTTATCGAACAAAGAACTCAAAAAAATCAGATGCCTCAAATGTGAAGACCCAATTTAAAAATGGACATCTGAAATGAATAGCCACTTCTCAGATGAAGAAATACAGACAATGAATGCATGAAAAAATATTCAACATCTCTGACTATTTGAGAAATGCAAATTAAAACAACACTGAGATTTCATCTCACTCCAGAAAGAATGGCTGTCATCAAGAAATAAATCAATAATGAATGCTGGTGCAGCTGTGGGCAGAAAGGAATACTTCTCCATTGTTGGTGGCACTGTAAATTGATTCAACCACTATGGATATCAATGGAGATTCCTCCAAAAACTAAAACTAAAAATTCCATCTGACCCAGCTAGTCTCCTTGTAGGTATCTTCCCCAAAGAGTTTTAAGGACATTATACCACAGCAACGTATGCATACCCATGTTTATACCAGTGTAATTCATAATAGCTATAGAAAATAACCTATATGTCCACCAGCAGATGAATAGATAAAGAAAATGTGATATTTATATACAATGAAGTACTGCTCTGCCATAATGAAGAATAAAAGAGTCCTTTGTAGGAAAATAGATGCACTTTGAGACCATAATCTTAAAATGGTAAGTGAAGTAACAAAGCACATTGTTTCTTTTATATAAAAAAAAATGATAATAGGAAAAGAGAGAGGAAAAAACATTGTAATCCAGCATAGACAATGTATCCACAAGTGTACCTTGAATTGGTATAATTTTCTTAGATATTTTATATGTTCCTTGGCCTATTAGTCTGGTTTTTAATCTGTATATAACATAATTAACTTTTTTTTTCTTTTTGGTACCGGGGATCGAACTCCGGTCCTCGCGCTTGTGCAGCAGGCAGCGAAACCACTGAGCTAAATCCCCGGTCCCATAATTAACTTTTTAAGGTCTTATAAAATAAATGAATATGATGCTGGAAAAATAAAAAGAGGGCAGAGTGAAGGGGAAAAAACAATTGAAATTGTGCTATGTATATGTACCAATTCCCACAGTGAATGTAATCATTATATACCACAAATGTGTACTAATAAAAGTCAAAAAACAGAAGGATGATAATTTGACCTCTTCCTTTCCTGAATGTATCCTTTTATTTCTTTCTCTTGCCTGATTGCTCTGACTGACGTTTTGGGTACTATGTTGAACAGGAGTGGTGAGAGTGGATATCCTCTTCTTGTTCTTGATTTTAGAGGGAAAGCTTTCAGCTTTTCTCATTCGATATGATGTTACTCGTAGGTTTACTGTAAATCACTTTTATCAAGCTAGTGTCCTTCTCTACGTATTTCTTCAGGGTGGATGTTGGATTCTGTCAAAGGCTTTTTCTACATCTGTTGACAGGATCGTGTGATTTTTGTCCCTGTTTCAATTTGTGTGGGGTATTGCATTTATTGATTTGTCTATGTTGAACAGTGCTTGCATCCCTTGGTCATGATATATGATCTTTTTGGTGATTTTTTTGCATACTATCTGACATTATTTTGTAGCATAGATTCTTGTATGCTGTTCTGGCATTATTGGTTGATTCTAGAAATTGTTTAATTTACTCCTTGATTTCTTCCATGACACACTGACTGTGTAAGCATGTGTTACTTAATATCCAGGTGTTTATAAATTTTCTGTGTGTCTTTGTTTCTAGCATCAGTGTGCTATGATGTGAGAGTATATATGATATAATATTGATTCTTTTGTATTTATTTAAGGCAGCTTTGTGGTCTATTTTGGAAAAAGTTTTGTGCAGTGCTATGAAAAAAGCATATTATGTTGCAGTAAGGCAAAACACTGTAGATACCTACTAAGTGCATTCATTTAAAAGTATGGTTCAGCTCTGATGTTTCTTTGTTTTTATTTAGCTGATCTACTTGTGAAAGTGGGGCACTGAGGTCTCCCATTATGGTTCTATTATTGTTTATTTGATCTTATATGCCTAGTAGTCTTTGTTGTATTAAGTTCAATATATACTTGCAATTATTATCTTTCATGTTTAATTGTTTCTTAACTAATGCATGGTGACTTTCTTTGTGTCTTGTGATCAGTTTTAGGTGAAGTCCATTCTGCTTAGAATAAGACCACTATCCCTGCTTGCTTTCAGGGTCCCGGAGTCTGGCCCCTGCAGCACTGTTTTTGTACCTTAGGCTGTTAGAACCACTCCCAAGATCTGTGTAAATCACTTTTCTATTGCTACAAAAAATACCCAATGTCCACAGCTTAGGAGAAGAGTTTTATTTTGGTTCACAGCTTTCAGAAGGCAGAAATGGTGTGGGGGGAGAAAGCTGCTCACACGGCAGTCAGGAAGCAGAGAGAGAAGGGAAGAGCAGAGGACAAGAACACCTCCTTCCAGACTGTACCCCAGTGACCCACATTTCTTGGCCAGGCCCCACCTTCTACCAGCACATTGAGACATGAATCTTCCACTAATGAGTATAGGCCCTCATCCTCCAATCACCTTCCCATTTCTGAATACATGGGATTTGGGGAGACATTTCAGATTTAAACCAGAGCAAATACCTTCAAATGCTTTTTACTTTATCTGTTGAAATGACTTTTTTACTCATTTTTCAAAATGTTAGTCAATCTACATTATTAGAATAAATCAAGGTTAGTCATATTATTCTTTCTTTGTACATTTTATTTAATTTTCTCTTATTTTTATGATTGAAATTTACCTGGTTTATTACTACAAAAGTGATGGGGCCTTCAGATTCCTGTATTCACCAGGAAATACTGGCTTTATGCTGAGCAGTATCTCCACTGTATGGAAATGATAAAGTTTGACTTAGGCATCTTGCATTCAGCAACTGAGAGAAAGTTTGAAGACATAAATATTAGAAAAGAGGCAGAAATATAATCACAAAATTTTTATCCCTTTTATGTGATGTTGCCTGTTTCTTCCATTACAAGATATAACCCAAAGCAAAACAATTGGCTATATTCTTCCATCAGGGTCTTCACTCATTAGTATATTTTCAGTCTTCACTGTGTTGGCCTTCTTCTCACAAGCAATTTTTTGTTTGTCAGTGCAGGGAATGTAAAAAATCTTTGTTTCATATATATACCCACAATACATCTTATTTATGTCATTCGTGCTTCTTTTAAGCCTGAAAGAGAAAATATTACACTTGGAAATTTGGACATTTGAAACATATTTACAGAAAAAACAATTTTTGCAACATGACATAATTGCCTCTAGAGCTTGCATTGTCTAAGATAAAATTGAATCTTTGTTCAGAGTACTAAAATTGTCCAAGTGAACTTTAAAATGTGTCATTTTAATTGACACAGATGTCACATGAAACACAGCTTTACCCCTCCCCCTTCTGTCCTACTTTCCCACATCTGGAATATTTGCTGTCATCTAATTCCTAATATAGAACCCATCTCCATATAAAACATGATTTAAAATAATGTAATTTCAAAATTTCTCTGCTCTAACCCAGCAGCAAATTTATTTCCTCAAGTGTTTTCCATAATAACCAAAACCAGAGTTTAACCTATGAATCTTAAGTTCAATATCAATCCATTCCACAATAAATTGCCTTTCCGTTTGCAATAATTACAAACCCATGTAAATTCTGCCTTTTCAAAACAAGATTTCATTCTCTGACTATACATTATCTTTCCCTCTACTCCTTCACCTAAGTGAAACCTTTAAGGTCTATAACCTTCTCTTCTTTTGTACACATCTTATTTCCCATCCTGTCTTCTCATAGCCATTTACCAAATACAGAGCCATCTTGTCTTTATGACCCACACTCTTACAACTATTTTTGCTGTCTGAAGGATAGAAAACAAACAAAGACTTGTATTTGTTGTGTGGCCTGGAGTGATGAGTATGCAGAAATCTCAGTGTTTGGATTCAGCGTGGTTCCATTCCAACAGCATTGCCCTGACCTCCCTGCCTGCTAGAGGCACCCTCAGCCAATCAAAGTGATCAATAGTGAACTTCTCAGAGTCTCCAGCAGGTGGAGCTTCGTAAATCTTTCTTTGATAATGTCTGCTTTCCAAATTTTAGGCATTATAAAATAAAAAGGGAATTTTGACACTTTTTGCATATAAGCCTTGACTTTCCCATTACAGGCAGAACACATAGAATGTATGAATTCATTTATAACAGTATATTTATACTCACATTCTTAAATAGATCACACAACACGTTGTTTAGTATATTTATGTATACCAAACAAACAATATACTATGGTGGAGCATATATTACTCTTTATACTGAAATACCCTTCTCATTCATCTATAAACATTTCAGTCAAAAATTTTTATATTTCAAGTATCAACAAAACTTTCCAAGCAAAACTCAGTTTTGGTTATTCTGTGTATTCTGGCTTAAGCGTTTATCACACTAGCTTCCTTTTATCCCTAGAATAACTTGATCAATCTGCACATACCATTGATGCTGAAGTAAATTTAAGAATGATTTTTTCATTTATCTTCAAATCCTAGGACTTAGCCCAATATTATATTCTTGTTATTGTCCAGTGACTTTTGTTGGCTTCTGTAATTTTCTTAATACAAGCATTATTTATAAAAAGACCTCTTAATTTCAGTGAGTACTAAAGGCTCATTAGTGATAATCAAACTAATGATATTTGTGACAACTTTCTGTGTCAGAAAGACTAGTGTCAGAGGAGGAGAGTGAACAGTGTAATCTCAGGGAAGCTTACTGTAATTTCCATCTACACTGCTCCTAAGGAGAACATCTCTACTTGCACCCAACTATAACTATTCAACAAGAATTCAGACTCACCCGGCAGAGGAGGTAATGTGCTCATCCACTTCCTCTGAGTTTCTGTAATCTTGTCTTGGAGATAACCCCAGCCAGTAGTAATATAATTTCTGGGATTTTACAAATTCCTAAAGTAAATACAAATGGTTTGCTTAAGAAACTATCTCCTACTTTGTGCATTACCTTACTTTTGATTTCTTATAAATTACTGAAGATAACATTTTTTATATTAGACTACTACCTTTCAATGCTATGTAAAAGAAATTGAAAGCATTTCTTACTGTAAGACATCACCAGTTTTACAGTGTCACTTCCCGTTTCACTAGTACAAAGGAATGAAAAGTTCACAAGCCCCTGGATCTAAATATCTGACCAATAAATATTAAGTCCAGAGACAAAGGAGGTAGTTAATGATGGTAAACAAGAGTTAAGAGAGAAGGAAGATGATTCGGTTATAGAATAGAATTCGGGACTGGTCCAGAATTTTATAGCCAAAATAACAGATATTTTGCTCTAATATCAGGCTTCAAAAAATTTCATTTTTGAATGAGTAACTATGATTGAATAATTTGAAAATGACCTTGGACAAAAAGGTCATAGATTGATTTCTCTCTCTTCTATAAAGGATGAAAAATGTCTTACAGTAGGGAAGCTGAGACTTTTGGAAAATGTAATTTTGCTTAAAAATGGGATTCCTACTGGAAAGACCACAAATGCTAAGTAATAATTGAAATATGAACAAGTCATTTCTACCTGAAAAGAAAGAAGAAAAAAGGAAACTGAAAAATTAATACTACCAGAGATTTCATTTTTCATGGGACTCAGTGTGACATGTCTGTGTGGAATTTGCCAAATGAAAAGATCCCCCTTTGTAATTTTGATGTAATTGGTAATCTTCAGAATCATTTCCAGATTTCATGTTTGTAGAAAATATTCAGAAATCATATTCTGAGACTTGATTCCAGAATTCCAACTTGGAGATGTACATAGACTTGAAGATTCTGGGCATCTTTTATTTACCAGTGAGCTTCCTAAAGACTCCTATGCGAAGGTCCTGAGCTGAGGTTTTCTGTGGTTTCCCTTGGCTGTGATTCCCTGAGATAAATGTGCAAAGTCTCATCTCTTTTCTTACTAAAATAAGACAGAATCAGGAGTGAGTGTCCTGGCCAACAAGCTCGCCTCCAATCTACTGAAGATCATGTACCGTCTGATAATTCTTGAAGAAAAAGAGATAAATCTGTCTTTTCCCAGGTCTCCTTCATTGAAAACAAAAATCTACCTACATGCACTGCCACCTTAGCACCAGAGTTGGATTCATGAAAAGCAGAACAAAAGGTTGTGAGAATCTAAGACAAAACCTTTCTTTCTTTTATAAAATTTTGTATTTTCCATCCAACAGCAGTGTGTAGAGAGAATATTATGCAGATGCTGTTACCTTTCTTCCCTATGTGTCCATCGTGAGGCAGAAGAGTCTACCTGCAGCTACAAGGTGGGCTACGTGAGGAAACAATCTAGGTTATTAGGGTGAAAAGTATGTTTATGTAAATTTTGAATGGAGACTATGTCAACAGCATGGTTTTTACACTTATTTGGGCTTGATTTTAAAACATGTTTTAAACCCAGTTATTTCACTTGATTCGCTAGCTTGAGAGAAGAGGCCCGAATCTGTGCCCAGTGCTGAAGGCTCAGTGTGAGCCTAGCTTGTGCTGCCCTGTGTGCCACATTCTTGTTGGAGATGAACCACAGCAGCAGAGCCCATGTTTCCTTGTCAGTCTTGACCCAAAGACACCACGTCTGCTTATTGCCACCACACAGTTGGTGTTGATTGGAAACCTTCTCTGAAATGGGGCGGAACTTCTTTGTTGTCTTCTTTCCATGTAACTTAAGCACAGTAATATAAATAAAATAACAGTTGGAGACAAACAAAAGGTCTCCACCAGCCTACTGCGTATTGAGAAAAAATGATTTCTTTCCTCACCAGAAGAGACATAAAGCCTTACCAATGTACTCTTCTCCTTAATCTGCAGCAAACTGGCATTCTGAGAGGAACACGACGTTTCACTGTCTTGCCATGTTTGAAGTGTTGTAGTTAAGAAATAACAGTTATTCTTGTACCATATCCAACTGTTGGGGCAAGGGCTACATTTGTGCCCTGCAAGAAGAACACAGCTTTGTTTGGTTCTCTGAATAGACTTCATTACTGTTATTGTTTCCTCTAATCTCTGTATGACACTGTACAAATTTACTGTTTTTTATTTTTAAGGCAAAGGCAAAGAAAATGAATGCTCTATTCAAGATCCTTAGATGTCACCACAAATAATATGACACATAACTTGAGCCAAAAAATTTCAAATGAAACACTTGGATTGAAGTGTTTATTCTTGTATCAGGATTCCTGGTAAATCTCCCTTTCTCATTTTTAAATTTATGTGTTTCAAGAAAAACTAACAGCAGGTAGCATTCTGTCTGGTGAGAATCAACCCCACATGTCAGCATCCATCCTGCCTTCTCAAATTTGAAAACCAGAGTAGCTTCCCGGGAGCTTCAGAAGCATTTGAGCCACAAAACCTGCTGAAATCTGTAGAGATATCTCAAGGCCAATTCCCCCAATTCCAAGTGTAAAACTGAGAGTTTATTTCTTTCCTATGGCCTTTTAGTCATCAATCACTGACTGAATTTTAAAATGAGATAATCTCTAAGAGACGTCCCTCCCTATGATCAATTTACCCCAGTGCCTAGAACAGTAGTAAATTGCAGATTAGAGAAACTATCTGCTTTATTCTCCTCCCTGGATAATCTGGTGACTTGCAGCTATTACTACTTTTCTATCTTTCCTCTAACTACACGGACATATCCACCATCCACATTTAATTCCTTCCTTCAAATACTGCGATGATTCCATATTGAAAGGATGCTAGCAAATGATAGTTATTCTTCAATTACTCATTGTCCAGTAAATAACTCTGAAAACAATACAGGGTTACCTGGTTCTTTTCTATTCAGCTCACGACATAATTTGGTAGCCAAATTTTGCAAAGTGATGGAGAGATTTCTTATATTTTCAGACCTATTTAAGTTAGTCATCAGCTGGAAGGAAATGTTGCTCTGAAGTTCTTCTTTGACATTTTGCAGTTTATTCAATCTTCCTTTATCTATCTTCAAAGTGGTATAAACTCCAGAAAGAAAAGAGAGAGAGAGAGAAATTGTGAACCCTCAATTGAACGAGAACCATTAAAATATTTGCATAAGTAGTGTTTAAAAGACTAAAGGGTAAGGAAAAGTCACTCTGCAGGAGTAGGGAAGGAGTCTAAGTTTACACACTGCTTCATAAGATCTCTATTATTATTACAAAGCTCCAATCAAAGAATAAACTTTGGCTATAAACCCCACAAAATTCTAGACATTTTTCATTGAAAGATGGGTGATACGTACATATGCTTCCCAGGATTCCTAGTCCAATGAGCAGCAAAAGACATAAAAGAGTCAGGGTCAAGGCTGTTTGACGCCATATTCGGGAAGCAGCAGGAGGTGCTGTCGAGAGCAAAGTTGGCAATGAGCTTGAGAAATGGAACACAACTTAATTTCATTCATCCACTCTGTCTTTATTGATTTCCTAATACTACCTTTTGAATGAACCTGATTTGCTAGAGATTCAAAGAGATATTTGAAAATTTAGTAGACTAAGTCAAGAACAAGTGAGAAAGTTAGTTTTGCAGGTGAAATGGCTCTGGTAAACAAGAACGGTAACTGGTGGAGTGATTCCAGAAATGAAAAGGCAGAGAGAAAGTGTACAAAAGACAGCGAAGAAACCCCAGTCAATGCCATGCATCTTACTGCTCACAGTTGAGGAAAGTGAATAGAAAACAGAGACTTTCATCTGAGCAGCCTTTCCTTGAGAGGAGCTGGGCTTGGGAAAGAAAGCAGCTCCAGGTTTATGTCCTCCCTGTGCCATCCCGGGAGCTTGTCTGTCTCTTCTTGACTTGCTGATTCCTCATCAGCACCTCCATGCCAGGTCCTCATTAAAAGTTTGCATTTGTATGGTTTTAGCAAGAGTTTTTATTGAATGCTTCCTCTTTTTATACTGAACAGTAAAGCCCAGAATGCATCTTTTTTCTATAAAAATTATGAAATGTATATTGTGAATTATTATCAAGTCATCACATGACTTAAATTATCATCATGTGCATATGTGAAAACATCCTATTTGAAGAAAATACAATTCGAAGATATTATGCTAATCTTACTATGCTTCTGAAATATGTCATCTCTCTCAGTTGGTGGAACAATATTGTAAAAACCAGAAAGAATTGAAATGAGAAATTTTCTTTTGATTTTAGAAAGCCTTTATTAGAGAAAAAAACAAGATCTTTTCTAAGGTTAAAGTTACAAATTCAAGGGCTATCCTTTATAAGTATTATTTTTTTCATTTGTGTACATTTTTTTCACAGATCCTTGCCCTTGCGAGGCAGGCAGCAGAATCACTGACCCAAATCCCCAGACCCTCATTTATGTACATATTCAATCATTTAAAGTTATAGAGTGAGTACCTCTTATATATCAGACCTATTGTGGATGCTAATAATGCAGAAGGAG